GAAAGAGAAAAGGAAATGAAGAAAAGATTATAAGGAAGAAAGAGTTGTGTTAAGAGACAGGGAGCTATGACAGGTGAGAGAAACTGCATGATGGTTCCTGTGTGCCAGAGGAGCTGGGAGTAAATTAGCAAGGGACAGCTCTGCCATTGGGAAGCCTGTGGAAAGCCATGAGTCACATTTTACGTGTAAAATACTGTAAATGGGATCCTGGTAGTACAATGAAGGGTTGCAGAAGTCAGCTGTTACATGGCTGGTAATAATTATATACAGATATGCATCACAATTAATCTTTAAATACTACTTTGAGGCCCCAGGTTTTTGAAATTGCTGTTTTATTCTGCTTTCTCTGTTAATCTTTGTGTATTTCAGGTCACTAAATAAAAAAAAAAGAAAAAGTAGTAATGGTGTTAAACTGATGTTCTTGAAACAGTGACTTTTCTTGAGATGTCTGTTTGTAGTTAGTGTAATGGAATGGCTGACAGCTGGTTTCAGTTGCCATAGTATAATTATGTAGAATAGACTTTTGCGATGACACTATGTCAATTAAGGAATCTCTCACATTCCAGACTACAAAGGACAAAATGACAGTACAAGATATTTTTTCCGTTATTTTTCATAAAAAGATAGTGACACTGTGTGAAATTACAGTCCTGTTATGATGACATAAGTCAAATGATGTGAAAGATTTCTGGCCTGATTAAAAATCATCAGCATTATAATATAGAATATGTATAATTTGATAAGTTGCCATTATGTTTTGTTCCTTCTACTTTGGAAGATATTTTGGTGGGAGGGCTGACATGGTGGGGGGTTTTCTTGTTGTATTTGAACTGGTGTGTGTCAGAGTGAAAATTACTACTTACATAACAATAGGCAGTTTTAAATCATTATTCTTTGGAACATAAAGATATTTTAAGACAATACATTTTGAATAAATTTTAAAGCCAAAAGCTATCACACAATATGATCTCAGATGGATGTTCAAATTTTTCCATGTTTTTGGTATATATATTTTTTTAAATTCAATCCAAAGGAAAAAGATTAACACTTTTTTCTTTAAAGCATTCCCTCTGTCCCCAAATCCTTGCTAAGACAATGTTTTCATCCTTTTTACCCAAAGCACAATAGTGCATATTCTTCATTGTTTTTAAGGAACAACAGTACAAAAACAGCCTGACTTATATGAAAAGCTCTTAAATAGAAAGAAAATATTCTATAAGCATTTCCTGATAGTAAACGCAGTTTCTTCTGGTTTCAGTATTGATCCTACACATTTTAATAGTTTTTTTCCTCAAGTAAAAAACAGTCTCATTTGCATGCAAATTATATAATGCCTCCAATGTGGTGATCCTCCTCTGCCTGGTTTCTGCTGATTATTGATGTCTGTTTAAGGGTTGTTTCTGTTCTGTGTGTTACCAATGTAGTATTTATTGACATTTTGATGGAGGAAACCACAAAACATCCTATCCAGCCACATTAATTTATTTCTGTGGCAGTGCATAGGAAAAAAAGATTCTAAGGATAGATGTGGACAGGCACATACTGAATGAAGAAGAAAGTAAAAACATTCTAGTTCTGGACTTGCTTACTCTGTGATGTCTTTAAAAAATAGCCAAGAGAGTTACCTTATTTCAGCATCTTTAGAAAATACTCCAGACTATTAACACTGTTTTCCTCATTCCATGCCCTGGAGTAACTTTGTCATTTTAAGAAAATCTGTTTCCCTTTAATTCTGATCTCTTCTTCTGTAAAGCCTGTGGGGTTTAGGTAGGAACTTGGAACATCTCATGACTTCCCAAACCAGGATCTCGTTCTCATCACTGCACCTCGATTCCTGCAGATTAATAGTCCAGTGGCACTTAGCCTCATGCACATTAGGACCTAGGTCCCAGCTTCCAATGTAAATAATTATAGCAGGATGTCGGGATTGCTTTCCCTAGATATCCCCCTGAGTAAGGCAGGACCCTCTTCCTACACCCACTGTTCCCATCTCTCTCAAGTTGCAGGCTGTTTTTGCATTTTCTTTCCTCTTTCTATACCTTGCTGCTGCTGAATTCACTGCTGACAGAGCTTTGAAGAGGTGGTTATGCTACATCTGTGCTCCATGACATAGTTTTGCTCAAGTTTTGGCTTGGATTTGCAGAAAGAAATGTGCCAGCTGTGCTGACATTGCCAGTAGCGGCAGAGCTCAAGTCTGAAAAGATACTTCACAGGTATGCAATGAAATTAAGTTTAAAAATGAACAGTTGGCTTTTTTAAATGGCATTTCTTTCTAGGCCTAGTAACTAGCTTTGTATATTGATTTTAATTAAAAAGTGTAAGGATGTAGGAGATTCTTAATTAAGTTACTTAAATGAAAATACACATGCATATTTTAATTGTTTCATTGAACCAGGGTCAGAGATGATTATAATAATCGTGGACAATGCAAGAAGGGAAAATAAAACTCTTATTCTTCATGAAATATTACTCTAAATGAAAATTATCTGAAAACAATTTGATCTGTAAGTTATTGGGAAAAAATCCCTATTATTAGTTTCTGACTTTTTTATTTTAAAGTGGAAAAAAGGAAGGGCCTGATGTGTCAGTGGAACAGACATCTAATGCTAGTTAAGATGCTGTAGATGCCCCTTTAGAAAGATGCTGCTCTCCTGCAGTGGTTGTGTTTTCTCTGCCATCTGCTTGGGGATGTTTTGGACACGCTGGGATCTCTGGTACAACTAGACTTCTGTGTTTTGGCAACTGAATTGAGTCTATAATGTCCTTGCTGGCCATTTTTAACAGCTTTAATGATCTCAGATGTATTAAAACAATATCATTCAGATACTAACAAAGCAAACATTTGCTAATACATACAGCCTCTCTTGAACTAATATTCCTTTATTTTGTGAGAATGAAATAAGTGAGAATGATAAAGCACCTACCAGCCACCACAGGCAAAACGGTTGAAAGAAGCATTTCCCACAACAGCTGGGCAAGGGGGTTGCTTGTTCAGGCAAGACTGGAATTTTGATGGATTTTCATAATCTCTAAGAAAATTCTTTGCAAATGCACACAGGTGTCTGTTTTGTGTTGCCAGGTGATGGACAAGGCTCATGCTGTGGAGTAGACAGCAGCATCTGTAAGCTACAGGTCCAGTTACCTCTACAAATGCATTTCTTAAACTGGTCCAAGCTGACATGGCAATGTCTTCCTCCTGTGAATCCCTTGCTCTGTCCAGAGCATCTGGTTTAAGAATATTATGCTCAGGCTTTCAACATGCCCGGTGATGAATCTGACTATGCCAAACTCATCCTAAATGTTGTTACCTGTTGCCTGTTATACAGTCAAATCTCAACACTACTCTTTTTATTCAGAGCTGGCAGTTTATTCACTCTTTGCAGAGTTGTAGTTCCTTTGATAAAGCACTTCTATGTGCATACTACTTGACAGAAAATAATCTGTGCCATTACATAGTGTCTGCTGTGATCAAGTCCTTCACGTGCTATGAACTGTATCTTTCAGGTGTCCTGAGTCAGCTGCCTTCCTGGGATAGAGTGACAAAGAAAGATTTATTATGACCGAACAATTTCAGGTTGATGGTAATGTTTGAAGTTTAGAATGTGGGAGAGGTGGATGAAGAGAATTAATGCTGTTCTTTCACTCCTTATTACTACTTTAAAGAAAGCTAGGATGAGATCCTAGCATACTCATTTCTTGCTGAAGAAACTTTAGTGGCACCTCAGCCTTGTGCCAACTCAGTTATCATCTGGTGTAGCAGTATATCAGCTTCCTCTGATAGCAGTGGCCATAGTAAGCTCTAGAAATGTCTCCTGGAATTTTCTTGATGAAGTGTTTGGTGGAGGCAGGCACGTTTGGCAAATGAAGAAAAAAATGGAGTCCACAATTAAACTTTTTTCTTAGATGTACAGAAGAAAAGATAGGGTGTAAAAGCTTTGCTTCAATTATGTCATAATTTCATTAATGCAAATGGGACTATGTGAAAATTTAGCACACATTAGGTATAATGCAGAATTGCCATCAGTAGTTCACCTCTGAATGACATTTTACTTCCTTGCTTCTGGTGCTTCATTTCTTCTGGTCTTCCCTCATAAGAGAATGGTGTAGGCTAAGAAAAATGGTTTATTTTCTATCCGTGCCAAGCTCTGGGAGCTCGTCTGTGCTGTCCGTTCCTCAACTTTTTAATAGCAAAAGAAATCTTGCTAATTATCATCTATCAGGAAGCTCTTCTTTTTCTAAAGATGTGCTCTGAATATTGAGAAGTTGCTAAATTGCGACAATTTTACTTGTACATAACCTCTTTGATCTGTTCCCTGTTTTGCTACTTAGGAAAACAGGTAAAGAAATGTGTGCCATGGTCGGTCTGTGGTTAAGGCAGAAGTTCAAAATTGGAGTCCAGTAGCTCAATATCCCCAGTTAGTCACAGAACGCCTGTTCTCATCGCGGGCCTGGGGCAATTGGTGCTGCTGATTTGGTGTGAAGGGCAGGCCTGGCTTCGGAGACGGTGTGCACACATGTGTAAAATAAGCCACTCATTCCCTGTGTCATAAGGGAGCAATGATCTAACTGTCACTCTGTGGTCAGCCGTCCAACAAGGTTACAATTCAGCTAGTGCCTAATTGACCTAGAAATGGGGAAGGCATTTACGAGCGTGTAATGCAGGCACAGTGTTTTTCCAACACAGATTTGTTACACCACTGTAAGAATCCTGTAAACCCATTAGATAAATCAAACTGTAACAAATTTTTAAACTAAAAATAAAAGTTTTATCTTGATACAATTATTGTATTTTCTGCTATTTTTTGCAATCCTTCTGAGTAATATATATGGGAACTATATATGGAAACTATTTGTGCATTTAAGAGGTTAGCAGTATTTCTTATTTTTCAGTTCCTCTACTGGTCATCTGAAGAAAAAGTATTTTGCATTTCTTGAAGTTGCACTTTTGTGGTTTGTGACTTTATTGTTTTTTTGTTTTGCTTTTGTTTGTTTTTCTGCAGAACTATTATGGAGCTGCCAAAATGATTCTTTCTGACAATCCACTTGGCCTCACCTGTGGAATGGTGTGTCCAACTTCTGATCTTTGCGTTGGTGGTTGCAATTTGTACGCCACAGAGGAGGGACCAATTAATATTGGTGGATTGCAGCAGTTTGCTACTGAGGTATGTAAGGCTTGCCTATGGCTGAAATTCTTTACGTATCTACCAAGGAGTATTGTCTAAGTGGTTGCATTTGATAATGATTTGTTCAAAAAAGTTATTAGTGCTAAAATAAGTGTAGGAAGTTAAAGTAATATATTGCTTATTCTTTCTGCGTGGAGCACTTTGCTGTGATGTTGCACCCTTTGCGACAATTTGAAGCCTTGAACCAGGCTTTCTGTAAACTCCATGGTAAAGCAAGACCTAGTGTCTCATATTGAATGGATGCACAGAAGATTGTATTAATTAACTTTCAGGAATACTTGGTGCTTTCTTATCTCTTTGTTTAAATCTTTAATTTTGTTGTAATTATTTTTTATGGATGAACTGTTTAGATATCTTTCCATTTTAAAAGTTTCTTTTTTTTTCTTTTTTTCTTATGCAGCAGAGGATCTGTTTCTATATTTGAAGGTAATTTTGAGGAGAGCATGGTCTAGCACTTCTGAATTTTGGTGCATAAAAAAAAATCATGTAAAATTTAATGTATGCTTTAGGAAAATCACGGAGAGGAGGAATCAATTCACATTTTACACCCAAAGTGTTATTTTCCAAAGTAGATAAGACCTGCGTTCAATAATAAAAGGAAATGGCCATGCCCGAATGTTGACTTCACTGGCCTCAAAGAAGAAATTGAGTTGCATTTTAAAAATTTCAGATGCTGCTTGCAGCAGAGAACAAGTACTAGCATTTATTTGTTCCTAACGTACATATATATGTGTACATTATATATATACATGTAATGTAAAGTTATGATTCTGTATTAATATATGACAGTTTCCAAACCTTATTCTCTTGTCCTTTCCCAATCTGTGTTTTCCATCACAAAATCCCTGCAGGACTGCTGTACATTTATAGTGCAATGAAAGGGATGTTTTACACTTTAGATTTTACCTAAGCAAAATGAGTTAGTGAATAATAAATCCATTGAGCAGTGCTGGTTCAGATAAATTAGACTATTTTGTGATTTTAATTCCAATGTGTAAAAAATGGGAAATACTTTGTAAGCTAATGATTTTGCCTTTCAACTTTCAAACAACTGTTTCAATTTTTATCTTTTTTTTTTTAAGGCTGAAGTAATTCTTGTAGGGATTGGCACATTTTGCTTTGGATCAAAGGAAAAGTTTCATATTGATGTTGATGCTTGATGTTAGGGTGTTCTGAGGGGTGCTTGAGGTGCTTCTGTGGGTTACAACTGTGCAGATTCAATGCTCAAGATTTCCAGCTGAAGAAGAAAAGACACTGCTGTTAGTCCATTAACTTCCTTGGCAGGCAGGGAGAAGTCGTGCAGTCTCAGTGTCTCGGGCAGATTGTGCAAACTACTGTACAGATTCAGTCTCAGCTGGCCTCTCTTCTGATACACACGCGATGTCTTTAAGTAAAATTTGTGTTCTTGGTCCTTGTACAATTGAGGCAGGTGTGACTGTGTATAAAAAGCATATATTAGCACTGCACTTTTCTATATAGTCTGTAGCTAATGAGCACGTCCCAGTTCTGTATCTTGAGCCATTTGGCAGAGCGTGTTTACAAACATAACATGAGATTCCGGTCACCTTTTCAAAGCCTGAGAATAAAGATTTGTAGGACAGACCAAAATAGAGATGCGAACCAATCTGGAAGTAACAGATGATACGTCTGTAAGGCCAGTTTTTTCCTCTGCTGTTGTGTATAGACTTCACACCCCCTTCTCAGTGTCTGTGTATTAGGACTCCCAGAGCAAGCAATATTGCTACCTGCGGCAGAGATTTTCCTTTTTCTCTCTTTGTCCACCTCCTTTCTGCTTTCCAGGCCACTTGCAAGGCTTCTGCAGTACCTGTTAGACTCAGCCGCTCTCCTTTGCCATGTAAATAATGCTTCTGTTTTCCTGAGACTGAGATGTGCAAGGGTGGCATCTCCACAAAGGAGCCCAGAGCGCTCACATGTAGGGCAAGGCCAGAGACTGACTCTGTTTGTTCTGCTTGGATACCAAATACGTGGGATTTGTCACTCGAGAGGCAGTACTCTCAGCTCTTTTTCTAATGACCTTTATTCCTTATATGTAAAAATTTAGTATTTGCTGCAAGGTGAAAAACTTTATATATATATATATATATATATATATATATATATATATGCACACACACACACATATATATATAAAAGCTATATATATATATATATATATATATATAAAAGAAAGATTAAACAGCTGCCAGTCGTGTTTCATGAGAAATACAATGATGAAATATTACTGTTTAGAAACTAAATTCATATAATATCTGTTAACTTGATTTGTGTCTCCTTTTAGCTGTAATGCTATGATTAATAGGGAGGAATTATAGCTTGATAGATACTACTAAATATCTGCCATTTTTCTTCAAAAATCTTTAGAAATCTATTAAAAAAGCTCCGTGGTAGCATGATGATTGATACTAAAACTGCAGGACAGGATGAATAGCTCAGAATGACTTTTCTTGCAGTGTTTTAAATGATGTATTGTCAGTAGTCCTAACAAAATTAAAATGACATACAATTGCATTTAGCATTATAACAAAAATAACATTTCAATAAATCTTATTGTCTATCTTATTTTGTAGTATCCTAAAATACTAGCAGCACTAGCATAAAATACTAATAGCGTTGTTAGCAACCCTTAAATTTACTGCCATTTTAAAAAGAATTTGTATGTATTGTGATATGAAATGAGCAATAATAGTCGTTTTTGTGATTAATAGTTTTCTCTTTTTTAATTTCTGTTTTAAACTTTCAGTCTTTTAAAAACTGATAATGGAGTTGTAGAAATCTTGGAAGCAGTGTATATAAGATGTACTGTTGAAAGGTGTATAGTAGTATTAGTGTTTCCAGGTAACAATTATTAAAAGACATTAAATAAAATTCCAAAAAAGTAATAAGTTACTAGTGCAATATCCCCCCCAAAAAAAAAAAAAAAAAAAGAAAAAAGAAAAAAAGAAAAGGGCACCAGGTTCTGCAGATGCTTTACTTTTTTAAGGAACTTAGCAAATTGTGTGATTTAGTTGTGCAACATGTGTTACCGTTAATGAGAGCTGCATGGTAATTCTCACACACTGTGTAATAGTTTGTCCCACGGGGGCTTATTTACGGAAAACTCCATTGTGCATAAAGCCAATTTTAGACTTTTTTTTCCCGTGGAATTAGTCTGAGGATCGTACACTTGACACATTACAAGGGAGAGCAATAATAAAAAGGCACAACTGTTAGCTGAGATAAAAGATATAATTTGCAGTAAAGCAGAAATGTGGGTTTAAAATGGAAAATATATGGGTGTGACGTGTGCCCCTTTGTGCTTCTGAACAATGACTGATCATCTGTTCATACTGCAGATAAAACTCCCTAATTGTAAAATATTTGTCTTGCATACGGTAGAACACAAAAATGGCACCTCACACCTCCTACATGTGCCTTCTATGCACCTACAGAGCTTTGTAAGTATATTAGCCTCATATTCGAAATAAATTGTAATCCAGTCGGGAAGAAAATACGGATTTTGACATTTAATGTTCAAATGGGGAAAGAAAAAAAAATGCCCATTTGTACTTGTGATGTAGAATGTGTACACGGGGATGCAGTTACCACGGTAACTGTTGCATCTAGAGACTGGCACAGAGTAAAAGCTCACTATTATAAATGATGAGTGTCAAGCGTAGGTTACACCTGCTGCCGCACAGGTCAAAATTATATTAATGTCTTTATCTGTCTCCTTTGCCCAAGTAGTTCAAAACCAGGAGACATTCCTGGGTTTTGGAATATAAGTTCAGTGAAAGTATGCTGAGATTATAGTGACGATATGTACAGGCATGATCTGTGTGATTGTCAGTTCCACAGAATGTACCGAAATTGGTAGTTACCCAAATCCAAGATTGCAGCTTGCAGTAAGAATGGATGGGGAGCTGTTACGTTATCTATTGTGGTGTAAGCAGCATGCCCTCAAAATCGTATATTTCCGAGTAGGTATTACTGGATTTAAAGGGTTTATAGCGTTTCCAGGTAAATCATTCTGAATGCTGCAGCACAAGCTAAATACAAAATATAGTATTTTAATCTGTATGGGCTAGATATAAATACTCGATCATTTAGTACTGTGACTTCTGTGCCTGTTCTGGTGCCGCGTCCCTCTCTGGAGATACGTTGTTATAGCAAAACACCCTTGTCCCTCCCTGGCTGCTGTTACAGCAAAAAGCCGTTGGAAAAGGAAACCCGATCTGTGTTTTCCTGGCAGGTGCTCCGCCAGGGTGCCTCCTCTGAGGGCCGTGAGGGAGCAGCGCGAGGTCGCGGTGCAGCGCGGGCAGGCCGGAGCCGGGACCCTGCCGAGCGCGGGTCCCGCTCAGGTGCTCAGGGCTTCGCCTTGGCTTCACTGTCCCCCTCTCTTGCCTATGGACACCGTTAACGGCCCTCCCGTGCACGTGCTTCTCCGTCCAGATGCACTTGCTGATGTTTGGGCGAGTTATAGAAACTTATGGGGAGTGTGCTTTACAGGCGTCAAGCATCCTTTGCTGTAGGAGACATTTCTAATGAGATTGGCATTTGCTAATGTCCGTTATTAGGCTTTGTAATCTATTTGGGGTAGACGTAAGCGAGAATGAAAGGCAGCCGTCTCTGACTCTTGCTGCTGACAGATTCAGCTTTAAAATTCATTATTTTGCCTCATTCTCCCAAGTAGATCTTGGTCACAAAATACTGCAAAACAAAATAAAAGCACCATCTGAAAATAGACATGAAATAATGTTTTTGAAGGTGAATAAGAAAGATACTAGTAGTAAACCTTACTTATAGCTTGACACCAGTCAGAGCCGACAAGGGAGCGACAGTTGCATGTGCTAGGACACTGAACGTTTGCGAGAGTCATCTCTGCACACCAAAAGATTTGTACAGGAGAATTCGGCATTATTTAATTAGCGTAGTGAAACTGCATGAAGAGGTGAGTAAAAATCTTTTGAAATGCATTGAGGCAGTTTGCTATTTTCACACAGTTACCCTACCAGCCTTAATATGCAAAACTGCCAGTGAATGCCACTGAATTCCAGATGGCAAGATACAGCACAGCTAGCTTGTATAGCTGTATAAGGACAGCTTCACCCTGTTTGCAAAGAGGCAGAATTAAAGTTGACCATTCAGCCTGAACTACTAGGATTTCTTGCATGAGTGCTTGGTTTCTGAAGCTTGACACTGCAACACAATAATGCTGGGTTTTAGTATGATGTTTAGTTGAGGGATGTGACTCTTGTTCAATAATAAATTAAAAATATGGATAAAATAAGGATAAAATAAATTTAGTAATAAATGTAAGATATGCACATTCATAGTATTTAATAAACACATATAATATGTTAATTACATAATTTATATTACTGACCAACCTTCTAAAACAAGTGCATAAGACTCCTGGAAATTTGTACCATTCAAGCTATTTCTATGTGAATGTAACAAAGCAGACATTTTTAAAATATCCTATTGCATTTTGGTTATCACAGTCTAGCTTCACAGTACAATATAAGCTTTTCAGCCTGTGAAATCCATTAATAACCACATTAAACCTTCCCATATTGTATGAATTGTCAGGTATAAATGATTCTTTTTTTTAAACAATTATCTGTCTCTTCTTGCAGTTTGTTAAAATGCTATGTCAATTTGCAAAGACTAGGAAAATTTGACACAGAAATTTTAGAGGGGGGAAGAAACTAATCATTGGTTTACCTAGCATGAGTGCTCAACTGCGCATGAGGAAAATTAACATTGATTCAAAACATAAATGAAAAATTTTATTCTTAAATTGATTATGCTAAAGTTTATATCGAAAAACTCTTCCTTTGGTTCTGAGGAAAGAAAAATCTGGAAGGAAACTCGCCAAGTATTTTAGAGCTAGTATTTATTGAGATGCTTGACAACATGTATATTTTGGAGGGCCGGTTCTTACCTGTGTAACGGAGGAGGTGAGGAAGCGTGTGCAGTTTCTTGGTGACATTAAGGAGGCCGTAGCTCAGTGTAACCTATTGCATGTGTTGCTTTTCAGGTGTTCAAAGCTATGAATATTCCTCAGATCAGGAACCCATCCTTGCCTCCTGTGAAGGAGCTGCCTGAAGCCTATCATGTGAAGATAGCTCTCCTTGGCGCCGGACCCGCGAGTATAAGTTGTGCTTCTTTCCTCGCTCGCCTGGGCTACTCGAACATCACCATATATGAAAAGCAGGAGTATGTTGGTGGCTTAAGGTAAAAAAACAAGCAACAGAAATAAAAAAAGAACACCCCATATCCCCCCTTCCCCCAAAATGTTTCCTGTGATTGATCATTCTGCCTTTTTAAGGATATTTCAGTGTAAAGGAGGAAAAATATATTCCTAATTGGAGAACTAATTTTTATTTAAATAACCCAGTATTCAGATCAAAGGAAGTGCCTTTAATGGCAACTTTAACTGAGAATTTGCCTATCTCCTGTATTCCCTTCATATGACCTCTAAAAATTTTTGTTCTATTGTTACTATTAAATTAACACTTCAGAAAATTGTCAGGTACCATCTTCTGTGACCCAAAGCAGTTAAAACATGATGAAGTAGTTGTAGCCACATGAATTGAAATAATTAGTAGATATTTAAAATGCTTTAAAAGTATAGTAATTTAATGTAGAAATTTAAATGTAGAATGCTTTTAAGAACATCTTTAATAAATCCATTATGTCTGCTTGGATTTGCAGCATTAGTAAACCATACTGTAAGAAGGAAGTCAACCCTCCTTACCTAATTTCCACATTCACCAAATTGTGAATAAAGAAAATAGTTTTCAGTAAATACACAATTGTTAAGGCAGCTTTGCATCTTGTCTATGTGGTAAACAAATAGTGATGGACCATAGTTCAGGACATGGTGTCATGGCTTCTGTACAACAAGATGAATTTTTATCACCATAATCTCTGGTATCTAAATGGTATATAAAGTGTGTTGGAATTACTAAATATAAAAGAATATTTCAGAAAACCAACTAGTGGATATTAGTCCACCTAAAATTAAATGTCGCATTTTGTGGTTGTATTCATACTGAAGAGGCAGTAAGAAGGGGAGAGGGACCCGCCCTTCCTTCACTGCAACATTACTGAAATCAATAGAGTTGACACCATTAATGAATTTGATCCATAATGTCATAACGTCAAATACTTTTTCAGTGCTCTGGAAGGTGGAGAATTAGTGCTGGAAAAGTAGACCTGATTATGTGCATATTTTCTACTGAGGTTCCTAAGTATTCTGTTTAATTATCGAGGTGTTAATACGTAGGCATTTAGCTGTGTGAAACTCTCTTACTAGAGCTAGTTACCGTTCAAAATTTGAAATTTGGTATGTGAAACATTTATTCATGTAATGAAAACACATTATGTTTTTCTAAATACTGGATTTAAAATTAATTTACTTAGAAATACTAAGACATAATGAGCTGTTCTTAACACTGAAACTTTAGCCACTGACAGATGAGACTCATGTAAGATCCAGTAATATAATGCTGCTATTAATTCTGAGGGGAAAATAATACTTTGCTCCAGTTGCTTGTAGAATGACATGGTGCTTGCATATTTGAAGAAATGTGATTTTAAAGTGCAGTTTTTAATTTGAATTTAAGATTAATTCTAGTCAGTTTTGTTCTGTGGCAAAAAAGCAGCTTTACTCTAGATTTTACTTGGCCTTTTGTTATCTTTTAATGGACAAGCAGTGCATTTTAAGTCTTTCCTGCTTTTCACTCTTGAAGAATACATAATGATACTGGTCAAATTTAACTTCCATGCATTATAAGAAAGTTTCATGTGTGATTAAAGGCATCAATTCCTTTTGTGCTTTCTTAATCATGGAAGAGAAGGGAAGCTGACCTATGGCAACAGTCATCCATTACTGCAGTTACAAGCTTCTGCAGTACCTCTTTTAACAAGTTTAAGTTATTGATGGGTGTGTTTTCATGGCTTCCTAAACTATTGCAAATGGGTAACAAGCCTGAATTCATTTAGTATTCAGATTCAGCTGTTTGACAAGGCAGTGCTTGGGCCCTTTTTGGGTATTTTTAACAAGGCAATCCCTTCACAAATATATAAAGATCATAGCTATCTTGGATGATATTCAGATTATTGAGAGCTGTCCAGTACTTACAGTTCCTGGGTTTCTGAGATGTAATACATAAGTCTAGCATGAATCTGAACTTGCACATCTGCATCTTATTTTTTTCTGTGCATAGATTTTCTTTCATTTCACTATTAGTGCAAATTAAATGCATTGTAGTAGAGTAGACATGAGCACTTGCTCATGTTCTTGCTTAGGGACACATGTTTCGCCGTTCATGTTCCTGTCTATATGACTCCCTTAGAACATACCAAAATTTTTTCTCTTCCTTGGCTAAAGGGGTGATTCTTATACAAAAGTAATTCGGAATCACCAAGAAACACCAAGCACCTTTAACTGGGATAAGGTTTGAGAAGAACGTGAATACATGTGACCCATCCAGAGTTCTGTGCTTCCCCCTGCTGCTCCTTCACTCTGCTTCCTTCTTCATTTCTCTATGTCTCTGACACTGCTGCTGCTGAAGGAAATTTAGCATAATTACTGATGTAGAGCTCGACAGTTATAAAATATTTATTTTTGTGATAAAGTGCATGCATGTGTCCGCACAGAACTATGTGTGTTTGCATATGCATGTGTACATATATTTGTACATGTTTGCAGGTATACTCTGTTGCACAGAACTGTAAGTATTTTTTTAGTAAGAACAAAAAATGTTTACAAATTGAGACAGTGCATAATGCAGCTAGTGCTGTTTAGGGCTCTTCTAAGAGGTAAGGAAATGTCAGACTTTCAACAAGTACGTATATGGTTTGTAAAATAGAAATTTCCTTTTTTTAATTAGATTTCTTTATTGAATCTTTTTTGCAGAATCATTCTGGTCTGTTTTTCTCTCCCTCAGACACTACTTTCCTTAGTGTGACCTGTGAAAGTTGCATTGTCATGATACATTTGCTATGTCTAATATTTGGAGCACTTTTCATTTCTCACTGGTCAGAAAAGGTGCAAGTGATCAGTATTAGAAATCATAAAAAGAAGGCACACTAACTTCTTTAATAGTATAACTGATGTTGATGCAGTTTGAAATAAATAAGATCATTCTGGTCTGCCAAAGTGAGATGTTAAAGGTGAAATGTTCAATAACAATATGTAAAATAAAGCTGGCATTAATCTCCCGTGCCAGTGCTTTGTTATGAAAATCATAGATCCATTCATTTGACAACAGATTATGCTCTTAAAAGCTTAGAAACATTTGGGAAGACGCTTTACTTTCCTTCATGTATTTTATCTTCATTGAATAAAAATATTTAAAAGGAATTCATTGTGTTTACCTGTCCAGTGCTTTACAAGATGGTTTTTGAACTAGAATAGATAGGTGTAGTTCTGTTGGAGCAATAGGTCTATATGAATGGATATAAACTGGGATTCTGTGCTGGCACTGCAGTTCTATACGGTAAACTTATAGTGCCAGGGACTTAAAGATGTCATTACTGATCCTCTCCAAGAGAAATAACAGCAATTAATAATAAATAGTATGTCAAAAGCTGGACGTGAGTCTAAGAGCTGATATAAAATCACTGACTTTGTACATTCTGAAACTTCATAAAAAATTTAAGAAGTAGAAATGGAGGAGGATACAGCATTAATTGCAGTTGCTCAAAATAGCATATGCTACTTCTTAAATTTTGTTAAAATGGGATTCTTCCCTACTGGATATCTTAATGAATGACTACTAGAAGATTGCTTTGTGTTAAGTGGCCAAGAGATGTAGTCTTAAATATCTTAAGCTTGTTTGATGTTACATGTTCCTTATGGTGGGCAAGAGTGGAGTCTAAACTCTCTTGAATCTCACCAGAATATCTGTTACATGGTTACCTGTAAGTGTGGGCAGGATTGGCCACAAGGCACTGCATTCTTGGCCTGTGTTTTTAACCACTGAAAAAATTATGCTTTTTTGGCCACCCCTTACTCTCACAATTAAAAACATGAGAATCTGGCTTTGCCACATTTCTACTCCAAGACATTAAATTTATCTTAAATGTGTGATATAAGTTTAACAGCTACAAAAAAAAAAAAAAAAAAAAAAAATCCTTTCTAATATCTGGAAATGTTTCACAAGCTTTCTTTTTTCTTTTTTATTTCATTTTAGTACATCTGAAATCCCACAGTTCCGATTGCCATATGATGTAGTGAATTTTGAAGTTGAGCTTATGAAGGATCTTGGAGTGAAGGTAATGAAAAATATATCCTGCCTATGTATAGCTCAGAGAAAAAAAGAAGAGGAACTCTGGCAAAGATTAACAGCAAAATGTCATGCACATTAGTAAAGAACAATTAAAAGCTACGCTAGACAGAGGCAGGAAGATGCTTCCTCTTGCTCAGGGCATTTGTCTGTCTCCTGTCTGAATGCCTAGTTTGGAAAAGGGCAATCAATAGTTCTCATCTGGCATGCCTGCATGTGATTAATTGTCTGTAAGAAACAAATTCCTCAATTGCTTTAGGGGTTCAATGTAGCTATTAGAATGATTTGATTTTTTTTTAATGGAGTTTTTTTTTTTTAATGCAAGTTTGGCACTATTTACAACACTGATATTTGACGCTTCTCCCCTCTCTGCTTCCTTCTCTCCAAGATTTTTCTTCATGGTTTATAATACAGTCTTGCATCCTAGTTAATTTTATGGCAAAATGCATAAAGAAGTTGGAAGGAGGAATGAATCACTGGATTGAATTTTTCAGTAGTAGAAGGGATAATAATGTATTGCTAACATGATGCTTCAGCATTCAGTCAAGCAAGAAATTCTTGGAATTGTTAATATTGGTTCATACTGCAAAGGCAGTAGACTGTTGTCACGAGACCCAAGTGAGATAAGACCCATGCTGATAACATGTAAAGAGGCTTTAAAGGCTAAAGATTTTTTTTCCATCTTAATGATCACTTGCAACCATTTAGAAGACTGACAGAAAGATAGTTATGTCGTGAATAGAGCTATAAATAGAGCACTGAAGCCATTTTAGACAAAATTGCTGGCCATAGGCCCCTGGGAAGAGTCTTCAAAACTAATGAAGCTTCTCAAGGCTCTTTGTCTTATGCCAAGGACTCCAGAATGGACAAGTAGGACCACTGTGTCATCCTGACCTGCACATCCTTGCTATTTTGAACTACAGCAGAGATACTTGGTGTAAATCTGTTACTGAGTTCTGCTGTTGATCTGCAGTTGACCCTTTGGTGAGCTTACTAGCTAAGTACTGTAGCTTTACACCTCTATAAGCTGCAAATATTTTCCTGTGTTTACTTAAAACATTTAAAATCTGTGGTGGAAGATGCTGTATTGTCTACACGCTCAGTAGTGCTGTTTATTCAAGTAATTCTATTGAAATTAGTAAGAATTAGTCAGGTGAATAAGGATTACAGAGCTGGGCCCTAGGAGTATTATGAATCCCCACATAAAATAGTATTGCCATTTAAATTCCTTCATTAGGTTTTCATAGCATATGTACACAATAGGATAAAAGAAAAAAAAAACATAATGGCAATTTATAAAATGCATTTTGTTGCCAGCGAGGATGTAGTCTGCATTCAGGAAAGGATTACAGCTGTATGTGGCTTTTGCACTTATGATATAAATTATACTAAATCTACAAATGAAAAAAAAAAAAGCCTTTTAGTATGATGCACTGCATATAGTTGGTTGGCTGAACATAGGGCAGGCACTTTCCCTCATGCCAGCCTTGAAGCAGCTGCAATTGCTCGACCTGCACCGTGGCCCCTTGAGGTGGGATTGCTGTGCAGGTACCTGGAGCTCTACAGATATTTTTCAACTTTTATTTATTTGTTTTTGTTCTAAAAGGGACTGTTGCACTGAAGCATAGTTTTTGTAAACAGGTTTACCTTGTTGTTTCAGCTTACCCTGGAAACCAAAGTAGCCTGTGGTGACCCTTATACAAGGATGATGTGAAGCTACCTTTTCCTGTATCTACTATGGGCCAGATGCTTAAACAAGAGCCAGTCTGACCTTTTAAGTCTGATTTGGGGGGGAGAAAAAAAAAAAAGTAATTTGCTTTGTTCACCAAAATATCCTCTGTGGTTTCAGTATGCAGGACATGCGGGAAGTAATTCTTGCATTATCAAATTAAAAGCCATAAATCTTCATGATTCTTTTAGGTTGTCTTTGGTAAAGGCCTTGCAGTAGATGGAATGACACTCCGTACCTTGAAAGAGGATGGTTACAAAGCAGTCTTTATTGGAATAGGTAAGAACAGCTTGTGCTCCTACATTTTGTCATCTTGAAACTGGATGACTATATGAGAATAAATTGGGACTTGTATCTGCATTAATAGCATGATGTGGGACAGCTTTAGTCTGCTTTAAAAAATATGGAATACACTAAAAATTGTAAAAATAGAAACATAAAGCTACTGTCTTAACATAATTATATTAAAATAGTGGTTAATTTTCATTTGCATTCACATTTTACATTCACATTTGTAAGTAGGAAGGTAATATAGCTGAATAGCTTAATTTATTATTTAAATGGTTCAAAAGTGGATGAACTGAAAAATTACCAGTAATTAATTGCCATATTGACATAAAGGGCATAAAAGCTCAATATTCAAATGTGAAAAACTTACTATGCCCATATAATTAGTGAGTCTATGTGTAATCCAGTGATGTCATGCATGACTGCTTTTTCTTTTCTCCATATAAAACATGTAGCCTATTTCAGATAGGCTGAAGTGAAATCTAATTATGGAATGGGCTAACAAAATAAAATGACTTTGAGTTGTACTGAAACTGGCATCATAGGTCTGCTCTCACATGCTAAAAAAAGTCCTGCACCTGCCTGCAGTTTGAATCATTGCTTCTTTTTAATGTTAGATTAGAATTGTTATCCATTTACAAGTATTTTGAAGTACAGCTGGACCCATCTTTACCATACGATAGGCGTGTTGAGCAAGCACCGTCCACAGTTGGTATGAGGCTTAATGCTCTTTATTGATCTAGACGTTGCCTAAGTGAACATAATAGGGAACAAGTTGTCCAACTGTTCCTCCTTCCTATTATTGATTACAGAGATGTAATTCTTAGTACAGCGACAACTGTTGTTTACCATCTGGGTATGCTGTATAATAAGCTTTGCAAGTTCATTCCCTCATGTGATTGTAGTACAGACCATTGTGATTTATATAATCCTAAATCCTCATATTGTTAGACACCTTTGGTGCGGGAATTTCTTTTGGGTTATACTTTGATATTGCATGCATAACATTGGACCAGCTTATCTTTATTGTTTTAATGTGCCTTTCAAAATGCTTTGTGAAAGCTCACAAATTAGGTAGGAATGCATGAATAAACCTTCATTTTTCTCAGAATGTAGCATTTAGGAGGAAGTGATCAATTATTATTGGAAAACCAATGCTTCCTGACTCAGAAATTTAAAACAACTTTCAGTTAATGGATATTCAAAATGACCAGTGAGTACTTTACACAGAGGAAGATTGGAATATTTGTATTGTATATTTGAGTTTATTTTCTGACCTTAATGAAACTATCCCTGTATAAAATATTTTGGTAAATATTTTTGCTAGTAAGGGGACAGAATCAAGCCTTTAATAAACAAAAAGAAAGTTATTCAAAGAATAATTCTCCCCTACACCACATGTTGCCTGAATGTGTTTGGATCAGAGTATAAATGCTAATGAAGGATTATGTGTTCCTACGCAGCACTGGAAGCCATCGTGCATTCGTGATGAAGTTGGCCTGTCCCTGCACTCCCAAGTGAGCCTGTCCCGTCTTGCACAGCGCTGTGTAAAACGCGGGCTGGTGCTTCTGGTCTTGCTTGCTGGTAGTGAAAGATGGGCCATGACTTGTAGGGTCGGTTTTGGTTAATGCAGTAGGACATTTATAAATCTCTCAGCACTTTACTCCGTTTTGTTTTCTGTTCTTTGCATACTGAACAAGCTTGTATTAAACAATTTTTGTGTAATATATTTGCAGTGTGCTGGTTGCAAGGAAGAGTTGTGAGAATTGTAGGGTTTTTTTTTCCATAGCAATGCAAGTTTTGAAGTGCATAAATTGATTAAGAAAAGGCAGAGTCTGTCCGGTCAGGAGATCTAATCCGTTTAGGTCACTGTTGGGTCACTCATCTACTCTGCATCTCAGCTTTCCGCATGTCACATGACTGTGTATGAGGGTGAAGAGACTGATGAGGAGTATGAGGTTACAAGAATGAATGCTACTCTAACATAGCTTATATGCAAACTTTTTAAGATTTAATTCAATGAATGTTTCCAAAATGATGACTGAGAATTAGAGATGTAGTTTAGGAATGATGCTTAAAAATGTCACCTTAAAATGTTCACATACCAGGTACAAGTTTGGAGGTTTATGTTATTAGCCATAAACACTAATGAATAGGAGTTATTTTTTTCTCAAAGTTTCAAGGCTTTCAAACTGGCCTCAAAAATTATGAATAGATAATGTATATTTTCTTTTCCAAATTCAATAGATTCCATGCAGTTTGCCTTACCTGAATCAACTCTGCTTTTGATAAGAAATGTTTGTGAAGAATTTCTGTGAGGAAGCTGAAAAATCACTTTCAAAATTTTATTGTTAAGAAAAGGTTCATATCAGTTGCCGCCTTAAGTAAACACTGTAGAGACTGAGGGCGACGGAGAATGGGCAAGTTTAGTGTGAAAAGGATAGATCAATGATGTGGTGAGGGAAACAAAATCCTCAGAGATAGCAACACAAGGAGGCATGAAAGGGTATCTTGTGGAGAACAGAGTAGCCAGAGAACTTTATGTTACTCTATCTCTTGATTTTTGGAGTTGAATATTTTAAGATTTTTTCAGAAAATTTCTGTGTCTGTGCAGCTCACTTGGCTGTCAGAGCACATGAAGTGGTAGACTTCTATTATTATTCCCTCATGAATTTCAGTTAAATTATTTGCAAACCAAGGCTCTGTGTTTTAAGAGTTCACAAAGAATTCTATAATCTTTTTGAAAGAGAAAACACAAAACATATTTTTAATACAGATACTTGAATGAAAATGAATGACCCTAGTATTAAAAGTAATTGAGGACATGTCTGAAAACTTCTGAAGAATTATATAGAAAGGCTGACACCATAAATATTTTCTGTACAGACCTTTATGCAAACTTGTATACTTACTCTATAACATTTTATGTTGCAGGGCTTTTATATAACATATGCATTCTCTTGCATATAAAGATCAGATAAAAATGTATCTTCAAAGATGATTTCACAGGTTAAAAAGTGTGTGTGTGTGTGTGTGTGTGTGTGTGTCTGTATTTATATATACAAAAAAATCCTAAGCCCACATTCCCAGAAATGACATAGGCGCCTCAGCTTGACTAGGCGTGTAGGCTTGCAACTGAACTGACAGACATAACTAACTTGCTAGTTAGCTACTCAATATAGCACAAATGCAGCTAGGAATGAAGCTTGCTTGTTTTTGTCCATCTTGTGATGCTGGATTGTTATAGAGACAGTTTTATTGTATTAGGCTTGTCAGAGGTTCTACTGCAAACTGAAAAATTATACATTATAAGAAGGTATTGAGTAAATCCAAGCACAGCCTCTTTCTTGTGTATTCTAAACAGTATGCTCTCCTTGCAAGGGTTAAAGTGGTATATGAAAAGTAAAAAATCCCTTGTGGAAGGAACCTTTGCAATAATTGCATTCGTTCATAGTTAATTAACATAGCATTTAAACAATAATATAATTAGATGATTTCATTGATTGGAATGAAATTACACACCTAAAAGGGAAATTAAAAGTCCAAACCTTGATGTGCTTTTTTTTAAACAACAACAACAACAAAAAACCTTGGGAGATTGATTTACTGTCTCTTCCCCAAAAAGTAAGTAATCTCCTCATGCCTGTTATTATCTTCTGATTAACTATGCAGTGCCACCTGGTGTGCAGATGGGAAGAATATTACACATCAAGAGCACTGTTCACACCCACCCACACAGATATAAACCTACGTGGCAAAAAGTGAACAGATGTTCATTTTGCTTGTGCTATAGGGAAAAATTGTGCATCTTACTCCTGATTCATAAACTAAATTTGGATAACATGAAATCTGCATATGGGATCCACAGGCCCATGGCCAACAAAGACATTTATGGAGGAATATGTTGTATTGAAAATTGTTCTCATTTCAGATTGTATACAGATTTTTTTGTTTGTTTTTCTGGTTTTGTTTTCCCTTGTATTTCTGAGTTTTCCTGTCTCCTCAATTGCTATTTCACTTATCACCTCCAAACAGTAAAGTTTAGAGGCAGAGTCATTTGAAACAATATCCAAGACCTATTTGTTGTTTTGGCTGTATTTCAAAATAATATTTCATATTTCTTGTCTTTTGAGATGGTCCCTTGAATTATATCTCAGGCCTCTTGGCAAATGTAGATGAGCTGTTGTAGCATCTCAGTGAAAGATGGGATTAAAGTACAAAGCGTTGTGCAGCTTCAGGCTCTTAGGATTTGCAGCTCTGTTTTTGGTGTTTTTTTTGGTTATGTTTTGTGTTATTACATAATATCATTAGTATTTTGATACCACATAGCTGATATGTTTTTTTTTACTGCAAGGAAACTGAAGCCTAAAGATCAGATAAAACACAAAGATGCAGGGGAGAAAAGTAACATGTTAAAGGTAGTGCAGGAAAGAATGATGTTGATGGAAACATGATTGCCTGGCTACTCAAAATAAATGCATTTGTAACTTGGTTCCTGAGTTACTTTTACTGATGTTGTAGGTAAGTGTCAATGTTGTCATCGTCTCACAAGCTCAGAAGGAGGGTGTTTTCACTCGGGAGGTAAATGGTGACAGCAGTGGCCTAGTAGGCTTGAGGCCATTGAGTATCCTTTATCCGTTAAAGGAGATCTAGTCTTAAACTTACCTTTATTCCCAGTGCACAGTCATTCCTGGAGACGAACAATGTATATACATCCAAGAGTTTTCATGCTTGAGGCATCTTTTTCTACTACTGGCGTTTGTAATAATCTGTTCTTCTAGTTCTGTAGCCTTCACTGCTGCTCTGGATGTTGGTGGAACAGTCATAGTACACATCAGAAGCGCTAGGCAGTTGAAAGCTTTCGGAGTTCAGATCACAAAACAGCTTATTTATTATTAATAGTCCTAGGACACTTTCAGAAAATACTAATAATCTGCCTTTGGGCATCCTTCAGTTATTCACTTGCAAATTACACAGACCTTCATGCTCTT